TAATAAATTCAAGACCCTACTGTCATAAACGAAATGACTGATCAACTCCTGTACACCTAATTTGACAACATTTAAATGGAGAACTTTAGCTAAAAGAATTATGGTCAAGCTAAAGAAAAAGCCAGTTATTTTCCAACATATGCAATCATTGATCAGGAAAAAAAAAAAAAAAGCAAAAAGACATCTTCAATCATTTAATAGCTTACAGGGCAAATTAACCCCTAAGCGAAAACTGGTTGCTCTAGAATCAAAATTTTACTTTAGTTACCCAGGCAACTTTTTTGTTGCTTTTTTTTTTTTTCTTTTCCTTTTTGGGTATATATATAGCTCCAGTTTTGCCCCCTCTGTCAAGCTTATATAATTATTAAGATAATAAAAGTGCCTTTAATAGTATTAATATATCCATTGACTTGAGCTGTCATCAGTTTGGCTACTTCGATTCCATGAGGCCTTTTCAATTCACACTAGCTGGAGAAAATGGTAATAAAAGTACTCAGAAAATGGGGAGTCATGAAAACCTTTAGTTCTATTCATTGCTAAGATGCTTTTCTCCATAAAGAGACTTCCTAACGAAAATACTTCGTAGATTTCTTTACTCCAAGTGGTGCATGGAAAATTAATATTTTCAATTATCAAATAAAATTTCCTTTTTTTTTGTGTAGATTTCATCCATCCAGCTGTTAACACATTCTATAAATCCGAATTGACTAATCTTTTCATTTCCATTTTCCAACTTGCGAATACGGCATCTTATATATTGTCTGCTAAACACTATATATTCTCTACCAAATATGAATACATATCACTTTTCTGAGCAAGTGCAGAGTCTTATCATTTGTATTCCCACCCAACAAATTTGTGGTTGAGCATCTTTACATGCTATCAGGTCACAAGTTAATAATCTTTTAAAGAACATGTTAAATTAATTTATTGGTATGAATACCCCGCCCCATTGCCTATTAATTACCCCCTCCCCCGCCCCATCCTCCGCCTCGACTTGCCCCGCCCCGCTTCCCCCGCGGGGTTAAAAAAAATTTTATTATATAATTTATTATAATTAAATTTGAACAAATAATCAAGTACTAAAAATATCAACATATCATCAAATTATTATTCATTGTAACTTTACAATTGAAACTCATAAAAATAATTAAACAAAAGTTATTTGAATACAATCTAATATGATAAAAAAGTATAACTAAAATAATCAAGTTTTTACTTTTGATACAAATACAATCACTAAATTGTTATTGTATTTTTTTGAAAAAAAAATGTTATTGTATTAAGTGTAGTTAGGAATTTAATATAAATGTATTAATAAATTTAGTATAAATAATTAATAATTTTTATTAATAAACATGTATAATTAGTAGTATAATTGATAATATCATTATATGTATAATTATTATATATATTTTTTATTTTAAACGGGTGGCGGGGCGGGGGTATATACCCCCGAAACGGGGGGAAAAATTCCCTCCCACCCCAATAGTCCCCGCGTGGCGGGTACCCGCCGGTCACCCGCTCCATTGCCATCCTTAGGTATGAATAATCAAAAAAGTATGTTAAAGTTAGTAATCTTTAAAATAATATGTTAAAATCATTAGTACAAATTAGTCAGAGAAGTAGCAGAAACACCACGATGCAATTAATACTTTCAAGCTCAAGGTCTCTATTATGGAAATTTGCATCGGTCAATATACACAAAGCATAGTTGTATGCACGTCTCTCTATCATGGAATTTGCATAGGTCAATATACAACACTTGGCATAGTTGTATGCACATCTTTTTTTTTATTTTGGTACTGTACTTCCTTGCTTTATAGTATGCACATTAATTTCTTTGGATTGCTGAAGATTATAACAATTATGAAGTAATATATATTAGAAAATTAACACAATTATGAATTTTTTTTTGTAAATTCAAATTTTATTAATAAGAAATGAAATAGGCAGTAAGCAAAAACAAAATCCTACAACAACTCTAGGACTCTACACCTTATAAAAAAAATACTACAAATAAACTGCAAAATAAATCACAATAACGCAAATTATGTTAAGCTAATAAATACTACTATGCAACAAAATTTTTGTCTTTGTCCCGCGTGAAACTACGAAGTCAAGAATTGACTCCTTTAACCTGTATTGTCAGCAAGATACAACTTTGCAATTTGATTCAATAGAAATCCTCAAATAGCTATTTTGACAGGGAAATTAAGCATTAATTTTGGTATCCCTTCATAAAACACAAGAGTACTTTTGATTATAACTATAGATCAACGAAAAATCTGCCTAAACATTTTGATAGCATTTTTCAAAAAGCAGAAGATGAAAAATTGCCCAACTGGGGAGTTCGTGATCTTTTCCTCATTCTAGTCTACTTACGATTCTTGGAAAAATGAATACTCACATCTCAAACAACAGCCTGTTCATCTGCATCGTCCCGCAGAATTCTAGGAAGTTAGGTGGCAATATTAATTACATTTCAAAATTGACTGCTGCGATAACTAATTCGATGGCTACTACATGGTCAACGTTTGGACCCTTCCTGCCTGCACATAGCCCTTTTTGGATGCACATTTTTTTTCTCTAGGTAATATAATCTCCCAACTCATTTCTTTACAAATGCACCTTTAATCAACACCAAAAGGTGTGGACATGATCTTTACCCTAGAAAACTATTCACCGACAGGCAAATTGACGTCAGAAATACTAAGAGGAATTCTAGTTTCCTTCGGGTTCATGCCATTTTGTACCCTTCAACTGTAACTCGATTTCTAAACTGTAATTTGTGACATTATAGTCCTTAAACTATGAAACCCTTCTTACTCAAGTATAATGGTTAATACAATACCCGTGACTAGACAAGTATGAAGCAACCATAACAAAAAAAAATGCAAAATTCGAGAAAAGAAAGAAGTTTCGCGACCAAAGTATGTATCAAGGCATGGTACAGAAATAAAAGTGTCAAAATTAAGAGTTTAGGGATGAAAAAGAATCAAAATATAGTTTAGGGATTGATTTGTCTCAATTAGAGTTTAGATGTCAACTAAGAAGAGAGATAGAGTTGAAGAGTAGAATATAGATATAACAGTTCAATTATTGATATCAACGAGACAATGACAACTTTGGATTATTACCAACCTCTTCTTGATGGGAAAAGGAAATAGAGAAGAAAGTCGGGCCTGGTCTAAGCCTGTTTCGGAGGCAAAACAACATTATGAAATCACCGGCATTCACACAAATATGTCAAAGTCACCGGCATGCTAAGTTGCAAAATTTATACAAACACTGAATAATATATTGTTCTTAAAATTTTTGTTTAAGAATTAAGATTTAACAATTAGAGCACGGTACACGAATTAGCAATATTAAATAGGGATAATTTCAGAAACCTCCCTTGAGGTTTTTGATAATTTCATTGACCTCCCTTGAGGTTTCGAAAATAACATTGACCTCCCCTCAACTGATTTTGGGATCCATTGCTGATGTAACCTAGAATGAATTTGCTACTTTGCCCTTATGCATAAAAGGGTGATGAGAAACCAATTTCTGGAAAAATATAATTAGGTCATTAAATAAATGAACTAATAAAATGATATTAACTGTAGTTCTATCTCTAAAAAGCCAATGTAACTACACTTATGAAATGACACTAATTGATGCACCAATATGGAGCCATTTTTTGTGATTGGACATGACTTTAGAGATCAACACAAGGATAGTATTATACAAAAAATTGGCGAAGATGGAAAAATGGAGGGAAAAGAAGGAAAAAAGCATAGCTCCTCTCAGGTTAAAATATGCTTATTTGCATTAAGATTATTGACATGCTACCCACTCATGCTTTTGTATATGGTTGGCATTAGTGACAAACAATCAATGGTCATGAAATTTGGCTATGCAATCCTCACCATCTGCCTCATTCATCTGGGGCAGATGGTGTTTGAAACTATCTTGGATTGCATCGACAGTTATGTAATACTATAACTGCTACAATTATAGCAATTTTGAACTAATGTCAAGTGACTTATGTTACCTTACTAACTAGTTCAACTAATAAGTTGTTGCTTATTATCTCTTATTAAAGTTACAGTAGTAGTCATCCAACAATAGTCATACATTTCTTCCAAATACAATCCAACTGACAAGTACTATTGGTTTACTTCTTACATAATCAGAAAAGATTTAAAATGGTTGGTACAATGTCGTGACACTTTTATATTTGTTACGAGAGTTTATCCAATTGATTTTATATTTTGGATGAATATAGATACAACACCTAGTATGATATTTATGATGAGTATCATGTTAACTATGGCCTTTGGTTGGTCTAGCCTTGCCACTTTTTATTACCTCAAAATTAGGTAATCACACTAAAAATAAATTATTTCTTGAGTTGCTTGAGCCGTTTATATGCTTTTGAAAGAAACTTAAAATATGGCCATTGCACTAGCCATTTGTACAGACTGAAGCTTCAAGTTGTTGTTACTGCACTTTTCCTAATTGCTATTACACCTACTAGAATTTACTAATTATGTATGTCTTTTAATAGTTTTCATTATTTACAAATACAAGTTGTGGATAAGCAAAAAGGGCATATGTGGAACACAAATATCATCTCACTCAAAATATTTTTTTAATGCTCATTTTCCTGACATGGGCTGATCATGTTACTACAACTATAAGTTCAGGGGAGGTTTATGTCATTTTCAAAACCTTAGGGGAGGTCAATGAAATTGTTGGAAGCCTCAGGGGATGTTTCTGAAATTATCACTATTAAATAATGAATGTTCACAATTGATAAAGTTATCAAAGTACAGTTTGAGGACAACCCATTCCAACGTATACAAGATGTTTAGTCTTTGAAAAGTTAATTAGAGAAAGTGACGAGATTTTACTGGGCTTACAACTTCTAGGCCTTGGGAGTAAAAAGTGAAGACACTGAGTACTATAAAAGGGCTAGATGTTGCCTAGAAGCATATCAGCCTCAGACCACATTTTGTAGCAATGGGGAGCAAAGCAAAAGCAATGGGGTCTAGGCTGACTCCTCTTTTTACCACCGTTTTAGTGGTATTTGTTGCTCTTGGCTTGCCTTCAGAAACTGCAGCTGATTACGACAAGTATTCACCTCCTCCTCCTCCTTATCATTATTACTCACCACCACCTCTTGTGCATTCACCTCCACCATCACCAGTTTATAAATCACCCCCACCACCTTATCACTACTCCTCACCACCACCTCCAGTGTATTCATCTCCACCATCACTACCATCACCTGTTTACAAGTCACCTCCACCACCTTCGCCATTATACAAGTCCCTACCACCACCTTATCGATATTCCTCACCACCACCTCCAGTGCATTCACCTCCACCACCTCCTCCAGTTTACAAGTCCCCGCCACCACCTTACCATTATTCGTCACCACCACCTCCAGTGCATTCACCTCCACCACCACCGATTTACAAGTCACCTCCACCACCTCCTCCAGTTTACAAGTCTCCACCACCACCTTATCATTATTTCTCACCACCACCTCCGGTGCATTCACCCCCACCACCACCAGTTTACAAGTCTCCACCACCACCTTACCATTATTCTTCACCACCACCTCCTGTGCAAGCACCTCCACCACCAATTTACAAGTCATCTCCACCACCTCCTCCAGTTTACAAGTCTCCATCACCACCTTACCATTATTCCTCACCACCACCTCCAGTGCATTCACCCCCACCACCACCAGTTTACAAGTCTCCGCCACCATCTTACCATTATTCCTCACCACCACCTCCTGTGCATGCACCTCCACCACCAATTTACAAGTCACCTCCACCACCTCCTCCAGTTTACAAGTCTCCACCACCACCTTACCATTATTCCTCACCACCACCTCCAGTGCATTCACCCCCACCACCACCAATTTACAAGTCTCCGCCACCACCTTACCATTATTCCTCACCACCACCTCCGGTGCATTCACCTCCACCACCACCGGTTTACAAGTCACCTCCACCGGTTTACAAGTCACCTCCACCATCTCCTCCAGTTTACAAGTCCCCGCCACCACCTTACCATTATTCCTCACCACCACCTCCAGTGCATTCACCCCTACCACCACCAGTTTACAAGTCTCCGCCACCACCTTACCATTATTCCTCACCACCACCTCCAACGCATTCACTCCCACCACCAGTTTACAAGTCACCGCCACCACCTCCTCCTGTTTATAAGTCCCCTCCACCACCTCATCATTATTCCTCACCACCACCTCCAGTGCATTCACCCCCACCAGCGCCAATTTATAAGTCTCCCCCACCGCCTCCCCCAGTATATAAGTCACCACCACCACCTCCTCCAGTGTACAAGTCTCCGCCACCTCCAGTCTACAAGTATAAGTCACCACCACCTCCTTCCCCAATTTACAAGTCACCACCACCACCTCCTCCAGTATACAAATCACCTCCACCACCTCCTCCAGTTTACAAATCTCCACCACCACCAATTTATAAATACAAGTCTCCTCCACTACCTCCTCCAGTGTACAAGTCATCACCACCACCTGCTTACAAGTCTCCACCTCCTCCAGTTTACAGTTCCCCACCACCACCAATCTACAAGTCTCCACCTCCACCCTACCATTACTACTACAATTCTCCTCCTCCTCCTCGTCACTACTAAGCAATTGTATCCAAGTTTTTGAGGTAATAACGTTTAACCAATAAATTAACTTTCGCATGATAAACCTTATCTCTATCTAGACAAACTGCCATGTGTATAATGCCAAATACGTACACCTAGATCCATGAAAATGAGTGGTAGAAAGTTTTCTTAAGAACCAAGGAACAGCATTAGTATTCCCTCTGCTTCCAAACACTTGTGTATTAAATAGATTAATGAATTGTTTAACATGCTCATCTACTTGAAAATGCACAATACCCATAACCCACTGAAATTTTTGCAGGAAAAGGGAAAGAGAATCTGTGTTTGAGAGCTTCATGAAGATGTTGAAGAATAAGAATAAAAGCCCAATGCGAGGATGTTTTCAAGTTTTTCTATGTTTCCACTTTAATTTGTAAATTGAATTTTGCGACTCAATTAATTCCCTGTTTGTGGGGTACGTATTGTTTTACGTACCATGCCGTACATGTTTGTAAGGATTTCTATCCTATTGGCAAAAGTCGGTTCCGTACAATTAATCAATTCATTTCACTTCTATTGGCTCTACTATTTATGCATGTTACGACATTTTTTCTCTCTTTCCCTTATATTTTGCCTTTAATATTATTGAGTCAATATTAATAATGGGCCTTTTTCTTAAAATTATACTATTATACATAGGTAGTTTGGTCTAACGCTAAATTCATGTTTGTCTTTCTTTTATTCCCTTTACATCTCAAAGTATACTATAGTTTGTAATCATTGTGGTGATGATATTACCAGCTGGTACTTATAGTTTAAGGCAGAGACATGATATTAACAACTATCTCATTGAAACATAAGGAAAAATCATGACAAGTGTGAGTCTTGGTTAATGCACAATTTGTTAGTGGAATTTATATTTATAAAACTCAAAAAAAATTTTTGACAATGCTATTACTAATTAATTAAGGACTTTATTGCTATAACTTATCGCTTACTAGTTTAAACTATAAATGATCTCAATACTTTTCTCCATGATGTCGATTTCTTTAGACTACGAAAGGGAAAAATTAGTGACATATCCTCTACTGATTACAACATCAGCAAAAATTAGTTATAAACTTTTCCGGTGGTTTTAAATCCCTCGGGCCCTAAGATTTTTTGCTCATCGAGTGAATTAAGGAACATAGGCAATTCGTTCTACATACCAAGTCCTTGTTTAAGATGCAAGTACTAAAATGCATCCACTTCATTAATTTGGGAAATTGCCATAGTTTTTTTTAAGCATTTTGATTTTTTACATGATTCAAAATTTTCTGATTGGATACAATCACTTTGTATCAAGAACACATTTTCAATCACCTTTTTTTATCTTCTCAATAAGAAAATAAAAATTTATTCATGCTTTTCTAACATATTCAATCATTGATCTGAAAATTAAAACATTAAAAAAAAAGGACATTTTCAATCACTGCTTACAGGGCAACTTCCCCATGTGAACCTCTTCAAACAAAGCCAATAATATGAAGGAATATCTAAATATACTTTTGCCCTAAAGGCTGGTTGCCTTGGGGTCAAAATTTAACCTTCCGGAGTATAATTACCCTGCCAAATTTATTTTTTTTTTATGGGTATATAGTTCCAATTTTGCCTCCTGTTAAGCTTATAAATATATTATCACCCAGAAAATAAAGGAATCTTGAATACTAACATGTCCATTGACTTGAGTTGTCATCAATTTGGCTACTTCGATTCCATGAGGCCAATCCAATTCACACTAGCTAGAGAAAATGGTGACAAAGGCACTTAGAAAATTATATGTAATATTGATTGGTAGTAACCAGCTTGTATTGATTGGTAGTAACCAGCTTGTGCTCTTATGAAAAAAAAATTAGCAAAATTTATGAGAACAATTAAATTTATTCGTACAAATCAGTCAAAGAAGTAGTATTTTAAAGACCGTGATGAAATTAATACTTTCAAGGTTTCTATTAGGAAGACTTCCTTTGTTGGTGAAACTACACTAGGCAGAGTTATATGGTATCAAAAAATAGTTGTATTCACGTCTGTTCTTTTTTTCTTCCTTAAGTTTTTTTCTTTATTCTCGTGACTTCAAAAATACGAACTCAAGAAATTGGCTGCTCAATCAGTATGTCATACAGGCTTCGCTAGTGAGGTATAACTTCACAACTAGAGCCAATAGAAATCGTCAAATGATTTTTTGACATCCAAATTAAGCAATAAATTTTGTTTTCATTTCATAACATATAATAGTACTACTTCATGGGAGATTTTATAGTTTCTTTAGGGTATCATACCTACAAGTGATATTTGTCATTGGATAGTGAAAGAAGTGTTAATGACTGTAAGATTAAATATTGTTAAATATTGAAAATTTAAACTATTTATCTTTATTGAGAGATACAACTTAAAGAATCCTACCCAAAAGAGACTATAGAATTTTCTCTGTTTTTCATCATCTGTAGACATAAATTTTGCCTATACAATGTGATAGCATTTTTTCAAAAAGACAAGATGGAAAATTGCCCCCCTTGAACGGAAAATTGCCCCCTTGTCAATTCTTTAAAAAAGAATACTCGCTCCTGAACATAGCCTGTTCATCTACACTGTCCCGCAGAATTCTAGAAAGTTAGGCAAAACTAGACTAGTTGACAGGTATAATCATACCCAACATCAGGAACAAGCAGTTGCACATTTCAAAATTCGCTGCTGCAACAACTAATTTGATGACTTACAACACTACACGGTCAAACTTTGAATGGCAATGGATCTTTTGATGTAATTTTCATGTTACATACATTAATAGATTGATATCTATATTCTTTAAATTATCGTAATAATACTCTTAATTACATTTAATTGATAAAAAGAACACGTGTCAACACACAAAAATGTGTAATGTGAATGTTACATTAGTGTATAGCAGAAGACCTATAGTCTCTTCACATCTCTTCCTGCACGTATCAATTCGTTTCCTCTAGATAATAATCTCCCAACTCATTTCTTTACAAATGCACCTTTTATGTTTTATTACCTCCAAAAGCCTTTACAGGGTCTTTACCCTAAAAATCAATTCACCGACTCGCATTTGATATCAGAAATTCTTATTACGAATTCTACTTTACTCAAAGATTGACTGTTAATAATGAGACAACGACCATTTTGTATTATTACACCGTCCTTCTTGATAGGCAAAAGAAATAGAGAGGAAAGCGGGTCCGTATATGGTCTTTTATTCATAGATAATACAACATTACGCCATCGAGCATTCACACAATATTTCAAAGTCATTGCATGCCTAAGACCCTGTTTGATAATCCAATTCCATACTTAAATTTAATGGATTTAAATCTTAACACATTCAAATCGTTTGATAACAAAAAATTGAACATTTAAATTAATTAAGTAACACTGGATTTCCAAGACAAAACTTGCTCCCAAAATTAAGTGATAAGTGAATAACTTATCACTGAATGTATGTATTAGATTTAATACTTAATAATTTAATAATTTAATGAATTCAGATTTCAGATTTCAGATTTCAGATTTCAGTTTTCAGTTTTATCACACACACCCTAAGTTACAAATTAATACCAAAACTTGTTATTATATAGCTTGAGATTCAAAAATTTAGAGCATAATTCTCAACCTAACACAATTGAATAATGAATATTCACGATTGTCAAAACTATCAAAGTACAATTTGAGGACAACCCATTCCAACGCGTACACGATTTTTAACTTTTCTAAAGTTGTTGAGAGCTGTTGAAAGAGATTTACCATGTTTACATCTTCCAAGTCTTGGGAGTAAAAAATGAAGCCACTGAGTGCTATAAAAAGGGGGCTAGAGGCTGCCTAGAAGCATATCAGCCTAAAACAAGAATTTGTAGTAACAATGGGGAGCAAAGCAAAAGCAACGGAGTCTAGGCTGACTCCTCTTCTTACCACTGTTTTAGTGGTATTTGTTGCCCTTGGCTTGCCCTTGGAAACTGCAGCTGATTATTACAAGTATTCATCTCCTCCTCCTCCTCCTTACCACTATTCCTCACCACCACCTCCTGAGTATTCACCTCCACCAACCCCTGTTTATAAGTTACCCCCACCATCTCCTCCAGTTTACAAGTCCTCACCGCCACCTTACCACTACTCACCACCTCCGGTGTATTCACCTCCACCATCACCAGTTTACAAGTCACCGCCACCACCCCCTCCAGTATACAACTCCCCGCCTCCACCAGTGTACAAATACAAGTCCCCACCGCCACCTCCTCCAGTTTACAAATCTCCACCGCCACCAATTTACAAGTACAAGTCACCCCCACCACCTCCTCCGGTATACAAGTCTCCTCCGCCACCTGTTTACGAGTACAAGTCTCCTCCACCACCTCCTCCAGTGTACAAGTCTCCACCACCTCCAGTTTACAAGTACAACTCACCACCACCTCCTCCCCCAGTTTACCAATCTCCACCACCACCAGTTTACAAATACAACTCACCACCACCTCCTCCCCCAGTTTACCAGTCTCCACCTCCACCCTATCATCACTACTACGGTTCTCCTCCTCCTCACCACTACTAAGCAAGTGCATCTAAGTTTTGAGGTAATAATACCTATCCAAAACTTTATCAACACAAACTGCCATGTATATCATGCTAAGGACGTACACTTGATCCATGAAAATGACTTGTAGAAGATTTTTTTTAAGAACCAAAGAAATACATTATTTTTTCGGTCTGTTTTCAAGAATTTGAGCAGTATACAGATTAAAGAGTGTTTTTTTTTTTAAACTTGCTTATCAACTTAGAAATGCACATAGCTGAAAGCCAACTGAATATTTGCAGGCAAAGGAGAAGACAATCGGTGTTTGCGACCTTCAAGAAGATGTAGAAGAATAAGAATAAAAGCCCAATGCGAGGATGATTCCAAGTTTCTACGTTACCATTTCTACATCTAAATTGACTCTAGCTCCTGAGTTCCATGTTTATGGGGTTTGTACCGTTTTACGTACCATGCAGTGCATGCTTGTAAGGTTTTCTGTCCTGTTGGCAAACTGCAGGTCCATATAATAAAAGAATACTATTTATATTACGACACTTTTCTCTCTTTCTCTTATATTTTGTCTTTAATATTGTTGATCATTTTTTTTTATTTATCAAAAGTATCAAATGTTTAGGTAATTTGGTCTAATGCTAATTGTTTTACTTCTCTTTTTCACCTACACCCCTTTTCAACTCAAAGGATGCTATAGTTTGTGATAATTGTTTAAGACCGAAGCATGATACTAATAAATATCTCATTGAAAGTCAAGGAAACTAACATTATGAAAAGTGTAAATCTTGATTTGATGAAACTATTTATTCGTGGAATTTAGAGATACAAAACTCAAATTGTGACGGTGCTGTTGCTAAATTATTAAGGACATTATCACCACTATTTTTCCCTTACTAGTTTCAACTGCAATGATCTCAATCTTTTTGTGACTAATTCTTTTCTTAATAATTTATAAATACAAAACTCACAAAGAATATGTGACTAATTCTTTCCTTTCGTCTTCTAAAGAAAATGGCAACTGTTAGTTTATCAAGGGAAAAAGGATCGACATCAGTTGTTATTGAAACTAGTAAGGAAAAAATAATGGTGATAATGTCCTTAATAATTTAACAACAGCACCATCAGAATTTGAGCTTTGTATCTATAAATTCCACGAATAAATAGTTTCATCAAATCAAGATTTACACTTTTCATAATGTTAAGTTTCCTTGACTTTCAATGAGATATTTATTAGTATCATGCTTCGGTCTTAAACAATGATCACAAACTATAGCATCCTTTGAGTTGAAAAGCGAAGTAGGTGAAAAAGAGAAGTAAAAAATACAATTAGCATTCCCTCAAATCGTAGAAAGTTAGGTAGCATTATAGACAAGTTGATAGCCGTAATGATACTAAAAATCAGGCAAAAGCCAGCAATTTTACATTTCAAAATTCACCTATCCAATAACTAATTCGATGGCTTGCTACATGGTCAATCTTTGGACCCCTTCCTGCCACCACATATCCCTTTCCTCAATCAGGGGCTTCTACAATTACCAGTTCCAATTGTATGGTATAGTGTAAATATCAACAAATCAGATGTAGACGCTAATTTAATAAATGTGGATGCTAAGACAACAACATACAAAAACATAATAAATTTTGGCATTCCTTAAAAAAATTAAGTCCCCAAATCAATCTCATACACCCAATTTCTAATTTAATTTAACCCATTCCCTCTATTAACTACACCATACAATACAATCGAACCCATTCCCTTCTAATTTCTTCACAAAATGCACCTTTCATCACCGACATGATCTTTACCCTAGAAGACTATTCACCGACTCTCCATTGACGTCAGAAAATCTAAGAGTAATTCTACTTTACCCTAAGATTGATATCAACGAGACAATAATGACAATTTAGAATTATTACACGCCTCTTCTTAATAGGAAAAAGAAATACAGAAGAAAGTCAGGCCAGGTCTAATTCTTTTTCAAAGGCAATACAATATTACGAAATCAAGCAGTCATTCATACAAATATTTCATAGTCACCGGCCGGGGTTTGCTGAGTAGAAAAGTTTATACAAAAACTTAATATTATATTGTTTAAGAGTTAACAATTTAGAGCTTAATCTCCTTGTACTTTGGACTAAACTCGAACGTGAAAGGAAATCCCAAAACCATATTGGGCATGAATTCACACTTAATAGACCCAAAAGAAGATGGCGACTGGTGAAAGGCAGTGGAGACTGGTGGAGAGATTTGAGGAATAGAAGCAGACGGAAAAGCAACAAATTTTTGCCGAAAAACGGTCACTTTCATGGTTAATTTTGCTACTCTCTAATTGTACTTGACCAAATACAACAATTTCATGGAGTTTGATACACAAGCCCAAATACACGAGAGTGTGTAACCTGAATTGTTACTTATACATTAGTGTGTAATAGAACGGCAAGCATTATGGTGGTCATTGAGCAACTTATAGAAGAAATAGTCCTATAAGCTGTTCGATGACCAATCGCAACTTGCTAATTGGATGACTAATATAGCTCTAGCTGTAATGTTTTAATTAAATTCCATCACTAACGTTGGGATGACTTTTTAACCAAAAAAAAAAAAAAAGCCTTAGTTCAAGCTTTTCCCCTTATTGTGCATTTTTTAAAACATTTGATAGGCACTGCAAATCTGTCATTTTGGACATCAACCCATATCCAACACAAGATTAAATTAATATTAGAAAAAATTATTACGTAATTGGAAAAAAAAAAAGAAGAGACTAATTTTCATTGAAACCCACCGACAAACTAAGCGTGTCCATAGCTTTTGATTAGTTCATTGCCGATCACATGGAGTAAAGATTGTGCTCTTTCCCTTTCCCCCCCTTTTGGAATCGATACTGTGGAGAATTGGCTTTTTCCCTCCTTTTTTTCTTTTCTTTTCTTTTCTTTCCTTCTGTACTTTGCAAAACATAGGTAAAAATATGAAATCCGAAGCATTCTTTAATTGGGATTAAGTATTGTTCTTGAAATTAAAAAAAAAAAGAAAGAAAGAACAACAAAAATCCCAATCTGGGTTGATTGTTGAGCTCTAGATTGGCTGCATCGTGCTTCCATAGAAGTTCTCTTAGTGTGATACGCTGCTTTCAATCAGTTTTAACACGGGAAAAAGAAAAGACATGAAAAGCAAATTTTGTGGGGATAATTTCGGTAACCTCCCCTGAAGTTTTTGACTATTTTACTGGCCTCCCTTCAGATTTTAAAAATTGCACTAATCTTCCTTAAAGTTAATTATCTTGTAACATTTAGATCCAATCAATAATTTAAAAAATGATATTATGAGAGAGAAAATAATATGATTTTATCATTGCCCCCATCTTACTACATTATTTAATTAATTTAATAGCAACCCACACATTAAAGAAAAATGCAAAAATTTGTTGTTTATCATTAAAGATCATCATATCGCATATAACATCAAAAAATAGTATATTATTTATATTTTTCACTTAATATAATATCCAAATTACTCTTTTCAGTTACATACCCATTGTTAGACAAAATCAACAACAAATAACCAAAAAATTTGCAACCAAAATATTACAAAAAAATAAACTTTAACATCATAAATATTTTTATCAACATATTAAAGTTAGTTATTGAAATTTTTATGGTGTTAAACTTCACTCTTTGTAATATTTTGGTTACAGATTTTTTTGATTATTTGTTGTTGATCGTGTTTGACAATGGATTTGTAACTGAAAAGAACAATTTGGATCTTACATTAAGTGAAATATATAAAAATATTATACTATTTTTTATGGCATATGTGATTCTTTTTTTTTTTTTTTTTTTATCAGAACGGCAACATTGTATTAATAGTAAACCAATTACAGTATAGGTGGGCAACCGCCCTCACAATCTGCCTGGACTTGTTCCAGCAGCCAAACTGGGAAGTTTTCCTTCCATTCAGTATTTTGTTCCAAAGTAATAGCTACTTTAGCTAGTTTATGGCTAACAAAGTTGTTCACCCTATTTGCAAAGGTAAAACAACATTCATCAAATTTTATTCATGTACAATTGTTGCTATCACCACGTCCTCCTCCTCCTCCTCACTGCACACTACTTGACTACCACCCTTCGCCAACCTTGCTGTTGCATGTGCAACTATCATGGCCTCTCTTAGCGCCTTTGCTTCTTCGACCTTTGGACTGGCACAGCTAAAATTTGGAACAGCCCAGGCCCACCCGCAATCTTCCCAACCAATCCCTGGCCACCCTTTTCCCACCCAGCTTCTATGGCATGTGTGATTCAATCCTTCTTGATAGGATTGGTAATAGAGGCAGAGGGGGGAGCCGGCTGCATCCGGTCTACTTTTCATAGATAGTACAATATTGCGAAATCGATCGCATTCACACAAGAATATTTCGAAGTCATTGCATCGCTAAGTTGCAAAAAAGTACAAACACTTGTTATTATATAGCTTAAGATTCAAAACTTTAGAGCACAACCCTCCACCTAACACAATTGAATAATGAATATTCACGATTGTCAAATCTGTCAAAGCACAGTTTGAGGACAACCCATTCCAACCTGCAAAAGATTTTTGACTTTTTTAAAGTTGTTGAGAGCTGTAAAAAGACTTACCATGCTTACATCTTCCGAGCCTTGGGAGTTAAAAATGAAGGCACTGAGTGCTATAAAAAGGGGGCTAGAGGCTGCCTAGAAGCATATCAGCCTAAAACAAGAATTTGTAGTTATGATGGGAAGCAAAGCAAAAGCAATGGGGTCTGGGCTGACTCCTCTTCTTACCACTGTTTTAGTGGTATTTGTTGCTCTTGGCTTGCCCTCAGAAACTGCAGCTGATGATCACTACAAGTATTCATCTCCTCCTCCTCCTTACCACTATCCCTCACCACCACCTCCAGTGCATTTACCTCCACCAGTGTACAAATACAAGTCCCCACCACCACCTCATCATGTTTACAAGTACAAATCTCCACCACCCCCACCACCACACCCAGTTTACAAGTATAAGTCGCCACCACCACCTCCTCATCCGGTATACAAGTACAAGTCTCCTCCGCCACCTCCTCATCCGGTACCACACCCAGTTTACAAGTATAAGTCACCACCACCACCTCCTCATCCGGTACCACACCCAGTTTACAAGTATAAGTCTCCTCCGCCACCAGTTTACAAATATAAGTCTCCTCCACCACCACCTCCAGTGTACAAATACAAGTCTCCACCACCACCAGTTTACCACTACAAGTCTCCACCACCTCCTCCCCCAGTTTACAAATACAAGTCTCCACCACCACCAGTTTACCACTACAAGTCTCCACCACCTCCTCCCCCAGTTTACAAATACAAGTCTCCACCACCACCACCACCAGTTTACCACTACAAGTCACCACCACCTCCTCCCCCAGTTTACAAATACAAGTCTCCACCACCTCCTCACCACTACTAAGCAATTGCTTCTGAGGTAATAACACTTGTTCAATATACACACTTCTGCATGATAAAACATATCTCTATCAACACAAACTGTCATGTCTATCATGCTAAGTGCCTTCACTTCATCCACGAAAATGACTGCTAGAAAATTTTTTTTTAAGTTACCAAAGAAAAGCATCATTTTTTCCCTCTGTTATCAAGAACTTGTACAGTATGTAGATTAAAGAGTTTTTATTTTAACTAGCTTATCAACTTAGAAATGCATATAACTGATAGCCAGCTGAATATTTGCAGGCAAAGGAGAAGGAAACCAGTGTTTGGACCTTCTTGAAGATGTAGAAGCATAAGAATAAAAGCCCAATGTGAAGATGATGATTTCAAGTTTTTCTACGTTACCATTTCTATATCTAAATTCGTTGTAGCGCCTTAGTTCCTTTGTTTATGGGATTTGTATCGTTTTACGTACCATGCAGTACATGTCATGTTTGTAAGGTTTTCTATCCTGCCGGCAAATCGCAGGTTCCATGTAATAAATCAATACTATTTATATTACGACACTTTTCTCTGTTTCTCTTATATTTGTTTGGATTGAGCTTTATTTCCCCAAATTTATTTGCTTACATCATCATTACAATTTCTAATACACCTTTTTACCTTCCCGATTACCTTTTTATCTCACATACATCACATCACAAAAAGTGCTACAGTAAAAATATCTCTAATAATTCACAATCCAAACAGACTTTTGTCTTTAATATTCTTAATCATATTTTTAACAAAAATATTCAAATACTTAGGTAATCTGGTCTAATGCTAATTGTATGTTTTACTTTTCTTTTTCACCTGCTCCCCTTTTCAACTCAAACGGATGCAATAGTTTGTGATCCCTGTTTAAGACGGAAGCATGATACTAATGAATATATCATTGAAACTCAAGGAAACTAACATTATGAAAAGTGTAAATCTTGATTTGATGCAACTATTTATTCGTGGAATATATAGTTACAAAACTCAAATTCTGACTGCGCCATTGATAAATTATTAATGACGCTATCATCATTATTTATCCCTAACTAGTTTCGACTACAACTGAACCCAATATTTTCCCCATGATAAAAGTTTTTGACTATTTTACTGGCCTCTCTTCAAATTTTAAAAATTACACTAATCTTCATTGAGATTAATTATCTTGTAACATTTAGTTCCGATCAAGAATTTAAAAATGATATTATGAGAGAAAAAATAATATAATTTTATCATTGCCCCCCATCTTGCTATATTATTTAATAAATTTAATAGCAACCCACACATTAAAGAAAAATACTAAAATTTGCTACTTTTCATTAAAGATCAAATTGCATATGCCATAAAACATAGTATATCATTCTATGTGTTTCACCTAATGTAAGATCCCAATTGTTATTTTCAATTACAAACCCATTGTCAAACATGATCAACAACAAATAACCAAAAAATTTGCAACCAAAATATTACAAAAAAAAATAAACTTTAACATCATAAATATTCTTACCACCTCCAGTGCATTCACCCTCACCAACCACTAGTTTACAAGTCACCCCCACCACCTTACCACTATTCCTCACCGCCACCCACAGTGCATTCACCTCCACCACCACCTGTTTATAAGTCACCTCCACCACCTTATCATTATTCGTCACCACCATCTGCATTGCTTTCACCTCCATCATCACCAGTTTACAAATCACCACCACCATCTTCCCCAGTGTACAAGTCCCCTCCACCACCAATTTACAAGTCTCCGCCGCTATGTCCCCCAGTATATAAGTCATCCCCACCACCGCCTCCAATGTACAAGTCTCCGCCGACACCAATCTACAAGTACAATTCACCACCACCCATGCCTCCAGTTTACAACTCCTTGCCACCACCTATTTACAAACACAAGTCTCCCCCACCACTTCCTCCGGTATACAAGTCATCTCCACTGCATCCTCCAATTTATGAGTCTCCTCGTCCACCAGTTTACGAGCACAAGTCTCCTCCACCGCCTCCTCCAGTATATAAGTCACCACCACTATCTCCTCCAGTACATGTCTCCACCACCGCCTATTTACAAATCTCCGCCTCCTCCAGTTTACAATTCCCCACCACCACCAATATACAAGTCTCCACCTTCATCCAACCATTACTACTATAATACTCCTCCTCCTCCTTCGCACTACTGAGGAATTGCATCCAAGTTTTGAGGTAATAACGCGTAACCAGTATAAACTTTTGTATGATAAACCTTATCCCGATCAACACAAACTGCCATGTGTATCATGCTAAGTACGTACGCTTAGATCCATGAAAATGACTAGTAGAAGGTTATCCTAAGAACCAAGGAACATTAGTTTTCCCTCTGTTTCCAAAAACTTGTGTTTGTTTAACATGCTTATCAACTTGGAAATGCGCATTGCTAATAGCCAACTGAAATTTTTGCAGGCAAATTGGGAAGAGAATCAGTGTTTGAGCGGTTCATGGAAGAATAAGAATAAAAGCCCAATGCGAGGATGTTCTCAAGTTTATTAATGTTTCCGTTCTATTTTGTAAATTGATTTTTGCGACTTAATTAATTCCCTGTTTGTGGGGTTCGTGTTGTTTTACCTACATGCCATACATGTTTGTAATGATTTTTATTGCAAAATGCCGGTCCAATAAAATAACTGTATTCATTTTGTGTCTTTTGAGTAAACTTCTATTGGTTCTACTACTTATTTTACGATATTTTTTTTCTCTCTTTCTCTTACATTTTCCGTTTAATATTATTGATAATTTTTTTAACAAAAAAGGTTGATATACTTAGGTAGTTCACTAGTTTGGTCTAATCCTAACTTCAGGCTTGTCTTGTCTTTTATCTCTACATACCTTTTCAACTCAAAGGATGCTACTATAATTTGTGATCATTGTAGTGGTGATATTCCGAGCTATTACATATAATTTAAGGCAGAGATTTGATCCTAGCGAGTATCTCACTGACAGATTAGGAAACATCATGAAAAGCGTATATCTTGAATTAGTGCAACTATTTCTTAGGGGAATTTATAGTTACAAAATTCCAAATTTTGAGATTCTATTACTGATTAATTAAGGACGTTATCACTATTTTTTTTTAATTATCACCATTAAATACCCCACATACTATAAGTTTTTTTAGGGCACAGGAAAAGAGGTGGGCCGATGTTTAGTTATCTACAAAAGTTCAAATTTTGTAGATAAATTATCATGCGCCCTTAAAGAGTGCAGAATACCAAAAAAAAAAAAAAAAAAAAATCATATACTATAACTAATCCTAATATTTTTCCCTACGATAAACTAACTCTTATCCATTTCTTTAGATGATGAAAGGAAATAGTTAGTCACATATCCTCTAGTGATTACAACAGCATCAAAACAAATTAGCACTCTTTTCCCGTAGTTTAAAAATCCCTCAGCCACTAAGATTTTGCATATCGAACGAATTAAGGAACATAGGCGCTTCGTGCTGGACAACAGTGTCCTTGTTGACGATGCATCCGCATATACTTCCTTAAGCATTTTGATTATTTTATGATTCGAATTTTTCTTGTCTGACAGCTGGACTTAATTGAAAAACTCAAGTAATAATATTCCAAAGCTGATTCGTCAAAGTTTACCCAATTGGTGAAACTTTCTTAATAGAGCTGACTTTGTATTACGTGACAATGATATGGATGCTCAAAGTTTTCAATGGGAAATTTATATGAGCTTTTCACGACAAAATGTGTTCCGATAAAGGTTCATTCCAGAGGTTAAAATTTTGTTTGTTAAAAATTTACTTCTCAAGTCTTTGATGCGAAAGTCTTGGTATTTCCAAAAAGTCTTGAAATCGCAGCATATAAGCCACTTTCTGTTCTCTTTTTTTCATTGAAGTCTTTCCAAATGTCAGTTCCAAAAGGAGTTTTTTATGAATTATGATAGATAATTAATCTGACGGTCCATATATATGTGATTTGCAAGAGGGTGTTTGGCGAAATGGTTAGGCTTTCTAAGTAATGATAGGAATGCCATTTGCAAAGAAGGACAGGGGGCCTGTGCTGTCATATTTTATGCGATTTGATCCGTTGTTGTATAAGTTTAAATTTTTGACGTGCAATTGTGCTACAATATTATACTAAATATATGTGTGAAATATTTTGTCTATATACATCACTTTTATCGTGAATACAACAGCTGAGTATAATAATATAATATAATGTAATTATACACCAAATAATGTAACAAATATAACAATCGATCTGAATTACACGAAATCATAACAACAAGATCACCGCCTCCCAAATTTTACAAAATAAGGTTTTTTTTTTCTTTTAGATTATTGAAAATTTTCAAAAATATTCTACATAATTTAAATTTTTGTCCTACAAAAATTAAAAGAGATTTTATATTGCACGCTTAAGCTTAGATATATTAAAGTTTGCCCCCAAGATTAATTTTCCGTTTTTATCTATGGTTTCTCATCTATGAGCCGATCCATATAGCTAGTTAGACTGTACTCCTCACATTTGTGGGATTTGACACCCAAGATTCTCCTTCTTGGAATGTAAAATGTAGATCTTCTATGTTAATAATTCAGGACCCAACTGTCATAAACGAAATGACTGATCAACTCCTGTAAATCTAATTTAACAACATTTAAATGGAGAACTTTAGCTAAAAGAATTATGGTTATTTTCCAACATATGCAATCATTGATCAGAATATATATATATATATGTAAAAGACATCTTCAGTCATTTCATAGCTTACCAGGCAAATTAACCCCTAAGTGAACCTCTTCGAACAGAACTGACAATATGGATGAAGATCTGGATATTCTTTTATCCTGACTCCTAAGGGAAAACTGGTTGATCTAGAATCAAAATTTTACCCTAGTTACCCAGGCAACTTTTTTGTTGCCTTTTTTTTTTTTGGTATAAAGCTCCAATTTTGCTCCCTCTGTTAAGCTTATAATGCATATAATTATTAAGATAATAAAAGTGCCTTGAATAGTATTAATATATGCATTGACTTGAGCTGTCATCAGTTCGGCCACTTCGATTCCATGAGGCCTTTTCAATTCACACTAGCTAGAAAATGGGGAGTCGTGAAAACCTTTTGTTCTATTCATTGCTAAGATGCTTTTCTCTATAAAGAGACTTCCTAACGAAAATACTTTGTAGATTTCTTTACTCCAAGTGGTGCATGAAAAATTAATATTTTCAATTAACAAATAAAATTCCCTTTTTTTGGTGTAGATTTCATCCATCCAGCTGTTAACACATTCTATAAATCCGAATTGACTAATCTTTTCATTTCCATTTTCCAACTTGCGAATACGGCATCTTATATAATGTCTGCTAAACACTATATATTCTCTGCCAAATATGAATACATATCACTTTTCTGAGCAAGTGCAGAGTCATTATCATTTTTATTCCCACATAACAAATTAGTGGTTGAGCATCTTTACATGCTATCAGGTCACAAGTTAATAATCTTTTAAAGAACATGTTAAATTAATTTATTGGTATGAATAGTCAAAGAAGTATGTTAAAGTTAGCAATCTTTAAAATAATATGTTAAAATCATTAGTACAAATTAGTCAGAGAAGTAGCATAAACACCACGATGCAATTAATACTTTCAATCTCAAGGTCTCTCTTACGGAAATTTGCATCGGTCAACATACACAAAGCATAATTGTATGCACGTCTCTCTATCATGGAATTTGCATAGGTCAATATACACTTGGCATAGTTGATAGTTGTATGCGCGTAGGCATGGCCATGGTTCCATTTGGAACTGGGAATCAGACCGAAACCGGATCGTTTGGAACCAGATCAGAACCGGAATCAAAACCATGAAACCAGAACCGTGATAGAACCTTGGATAAAGGTTCCGGTTCTGGTTCTCTAAAAAATAGAACCAGAACCAGAACCGTTAAAAATAATTAATATAAGTGGTGAGATAATTCAAAAAAAATTAGTTGTGTTTAATAGGTTTTAAGAAAGTTTAAATTTTATGGACTTTCTATATATTTTATTAATTATTTAATTCTTTCTATTCATCTAATATTTATCATTATAATTTGCAAGTATTAAATTATTACTTAAAATTTTTTTTTTTTTTTGCTTATTTGCTATCAAATGACAAGTTTTGATGGTAGTAGCTCATCTTCAAAATCAAGCAAGCAAAAAAATATTTTTTGCAATATTTCTTCAAATGGAATCTTCAACATTGATGATTGTCCAACTCAAGAAAGTCAACATATGACAACCATTTGATAGTGTAATGTATTTTTTAATTTGACAATGTAATGTACTTTTCATAAAATTTATATTATCTATTTATTACTTCTTACTTTGTAGAATAATAATAAAATTAAAATATGATCTTTATTTTGTATTTATTTTTTTACGTTTTATTTGAAATTTTAAATATATTGTTATATTCGTATTAAAATTGGTAAGGATAAGGAATTAAATAAAATTGTATATAACCATACAGAACCGGAAACCGGAACCAGAACTATAAGGAACCAAAATCAGAACTATGCGGTTCTGGTTCTACCTCTTTGAAGAACCAGAACCAGAACCATTTTATATGGTGCGGTTCTGGTTCTACCTTTTTTAAGAACCAGAACCGGCGGTTCTAGAACCGTGGTCATGCCTATATGCACGTCTTTTATTTTATTTTATTTTATTTTTTGGTACTGTTCTTCCTTGCTTTATAGTATGCACGTTTATTTCTTTGGATTGCTTAAGATTATATTGTTAATAATAGGGCATTTAACCATAAATTATAATAATTATGAAGTAATATATATTAGAAAATTAACACAATTATGATTTTTTTTTTTTGTAAATTCAAATTTTATTAATAAGAAATGAAATAGACCGTAAGCAAAAACAAAATCCTACAACAACTCTAGGACTCTACACCTTATATAAAAAAAAACTAGGACTCTATACCTCAGAGAAGCTAAACAATCCAACAAATAAAATGCAAAATAAATCACAATAACGCAAATTATGTTAAGCTAATAAATACTACCATGCAACAAAATTTTTGTCTTTGTCCCGCGTGAAACTACGAAGTCAAGAATTGACTCCTTTAACCAGTATTGCCAGCGGGGCTCCGTCAGCAAGATACAACTTTGCAATTTTATACAATAGAAATCCTCAAATAGCTATTTTGACAGGCAAATTAAGCATTAATTTTGGTATCCCTTCATAAAATACAAGAGTACTTTTGATTATATCTATAGATCAACTTTCTAGGCTTGATGTATTATAAGAAAAATCTGCCTAAACATTTTGATAGCATTTTTCCAAAAGCAGAAGATGGAAAATTGCCCATTTGTAATGGGGAGTTCGTGATCTTTTCCTCATTCTAGTCTACTTACAATTCTTGGAAAAAGGAATACTCACATCTCAAACAACAGCCAGCTCATCTGCGCTGTCCTGCAGAATTCTAGAAAGTTAGGTGGCAATGTTAATAACATTTCAAAATTGACTGCTGCGATAACTAATTCGATGGCTTACTACATGGTCAACGTTTGGATCCCTTCCTGCCGGCACTGTCCTTTTTGGATGCACATTTTTTTTCTCTAGGTAATATAATCACCCAACTCATTTCTTTACAAATGCACCTTTAATCACCACCAAAAGGTGTGGACATGATCTTTACCCTAGAAAACTATTCACCGACAGGCAAATTGACGTCAGAAATACTAAGAGGAATTCTAGTTTCCTTCGGGTTAATGCCATTTTGTACCCTTCAACTGTAACTCGATTTCTAAGCTGTAATTTGTGACATTATAGTCCTTAAACTATGAAACCCTTCTTACTTAAGTATAATGGTTAATACAATACTGGTGATTAGACAAGTATGAAGCAACCATAACAAAAAAAAATCCAAAATTAGAGAAAAGAAAGATGTTTCGCGACCAAAGTATGTATCAAGGCATAGTATAGAAATAAAAGTGTCAAAATTAAGAGTTTAGGGATAAAAAAGAATCAAGATATAGTTTAGGGATTGATTTGTCTCAATTAGAGCTTAGGTGTCAACTAAGAAGAGAGATATAGTTGAAGGGTAGAATATAGATATAAAGGTTCAATGATTGATATCAGTGAGACAATGATAACTTTGGATTATTACCAACCTCTTCTGGATGGGAAAAGGAAATAGAGAAGAAAGTCGGGCCTGGTCTAAGCCTGTTTCGGAGGCAAAACAACATTATGAAATCACCGGCATTCAGACAAATATGTCAAAGTCACCGGCATGCTAAGTTGCAAAATTTATACAAACACTTAATATTATATTGTTCTTAAAATTTTTGTTTAAGATTTAACAATTAGAGCACGGTACACGAATTAGAAATATTAAATAATGAATGTTCACGATTGATAAAGTTATCAAAGTACAGTTTGAGGACAACCCATTCCAACGTGTACAAGATGTTTAGCCTTTGAAAAGTTAATTAGAGAAGGTGACGAGATTTTACGAGGCTGACATCATCTAGGCCTCGAGAGTAAAAAATGAAGACACTGAGCGCTATAAAAAGAGGGCTAGATGTTGCCTAGAAGCATATCAGCCTCAGACCACGTTTTGTAGCAATGGGGAGCAAAGCAAAAGCAATGGGGTCTAGGCTGACTCCTCTTCTTACCACCGTTTTAGTGGTATTTCTTGCTCTTGGCTTGCCTTCAGAAACTGCAGCTGATTACTACAAGTATTCATCTCCTCCTCCTCCTTACCATTATTCCTCACCACCACCTCCTATGCATTCACCCCCACCACCGCCAGTTTATAAGTCACCCCCACCACCTTACCACTACTCCTCACCGCCACCTCCAGTGTATTCATTTCCACCACCTTTGCCAATATACAAGTCTCCGCCACCACCTTACCATTATTCCTCACCACCACCCCCAGTGCATTCACCCCCACCACCACCAGTTTACAAGTCTCCCCCACCACCTTACCAGTATTCCTCACCACCACCTCCGGTGCATTCACCACCACCTCCTCCAGTTTACAAGTCCCCGCCACCACCTTACCATTATTCCTCACCACCACTTCCAGTGCATTCACCTCCACCATCACCGATTTACAAGTCTCCACCACCACCTTACCAATATTCCTCACCACCACCTCCACTGCATTCACCTCCACCACCACCGATTTACAAGTCACCTCTACCGCCTCTTCCAGTTTACAAGTCTCCGCCACCACCTTACCACTATTCCTCACCACCACCTCCGGTGCATTCACCTCCACCACCACCGGTTTACAAGTCACCTCCACCACCTCCTCCAGTTTACAAGTCCCCGCCACCACCTTACCATTATTCCTCACCACCACCTCCGGTGCATTCACCTCCACCACCACCGGTTTACAAGTCACCTCCACCACCACCTCCAGTTTACAAGTCCCCGCCACCACCTTACCATTATTCCTCACCACCAACTCCAGTGCATTCACCCCCATCACCACCAGTTTACAAGTCTCCGCCACCACCTTACCATTATTCCTCACCACCATCTCCGGTAAATTCACCTCCACCACCACCGGTTTACAAGTCACCTCCACCACCTCTTCCAATTTACAAGTCCCCGCCACCACCTTACCACTATTCCTCACCACCACCTCCAGTGCATTCACCCCTACCACCACCTGATAGGGTATAATTTGTTAGTATTTTTATTATTAATTTTCCCTTCTATCCCTGACAAATATTGTGTTAATTGCTGATATTTACTCATATTTGGTATTTGGAATCAATTTCAGGAATGAAGCAGAAAACTACCAAAAAGGAGGGACTTTGTGAAAAATATGGAGACTTCTAAGGGCTTCAATCCTTGGGCCCTTGAATTGGTGGGGGACCACAAGCTAGTGAAAGGCATTTGGTCATTTGGGCTTCAAAGAAAGCAACGTAGAGAGACTTGGAACAAGAAGTACTTGGGAGGCTTTGTCCACATGTGTGGGGACCACCTAGATAGCTTTTAGTCATCTTTCTTTTGTTGCTTTAAAAGGGGACAACGTACAGAAGCAAAAGATATCTAGGGCTTTAGTTTTAGTTTTTAGTTTAGTTCTAGTTTTCTTTCTTTGGACTGGCCTCTGACACACGCCAGGTATTCGACAATATTCCCCAACGGGGAGATTTTCTCATGAGGCGTGGTTAAGCTTTTCAAGGGGACACTGACGATTTGGTTCAATTTACTGTGAGATCGAATCTGTTTTATTTTTTTCTTCATTTTGGTTTTTATATGTTCCTTGATTTTAATTGCTATGGCCTTGTGTATGATTGATTAGTGCACAATAATTAATTATTCATATAGGCTATTTTTGCTAAATAGGGGTAATTGAATCCGTAATTGTTCGTTATCTCTACCTCAGTAGCAACTGGCGTAATTGGGTTTATGTCAGGGGAGCATATGATCTAATTTAAACAAACCCTCGTAGCGTATTTGTTGGTTAGGATTGGGCCTTTCTAATTATTATGCAATCTAGAAATTAAATCCTACGGTCGTACCTAGGGTTATTTTTGGGTTAGAGAAATAGCTAACGGTCGTACCTTAGCTATCGAGAAATTAAGGAAGGGTTGGTTGTTTATCGCGTGCATGACAACTATAACTAATCTATTGCTAAATGTTGGAATTATTTCTGCATCAATGATCAGTGCCTGAACCATTTCTGAAGTGTACCCTTGGCTAGAGTTTCTCTTAATTATTTCTTTTAATCAATTATTTTCTGCACTTGATTTATTTAGTTAGCATTTAATCCAAGAACCTCCCATACTCTGGACTCTAGAAGAAACGAATTATCCCCAATCCCTGTGGATTCGACCCTGCTCGCCGCTATATACAAAATCTGTATTTTTCTTGAGTAGGTAATTATTATTGCACAGGTTCGGCACCTGTCACCACCAGTTTACAAGTCTCCGCCACCACCTTACCATTATTCCCCACTACCACCTCAAACGCATTCACTCCCACCACCAGTTTACAAGTCACCGCCACCACGTTCTCCAGTATACAAATCACCTCCACCACCTCCTCTAGTTTACAAATCTCCACCACCATCAATTGATAAATACAAGTCTCCTCCAGTGTACAAGTCATCTCCACCACCTGCTTACAAGTCTCCACCTCCTTCAGTTTACAGTTCCCCACCACCACCAATCTACAAGTCTCCACCTCCACCCTACCATTACTACTACAATTCTCCTTCTCCTCCTCCTCCTTCTCACTACTAAGCAGTTGTATCCAAGTTTTTGAGGTAATAACGCTTAACCAATAAATTAACTTTCGCATGATAAACCTTATCCCTATCAAGACAAACTGCCATGTGTATCATGGCAAATCCGTACACTTAGATCCATGAAAATGAGTGGTAGAAGGTTTTCTTAAGAACCAAGGAACAGCAATAGTATTCCCACTGCTTCCAAAAACTTGTGTATTAAATAGATTAACGAATTGTTTAACATGCTTATCTACTTGAAAATGCACAATACCCATAACCCATTGAAATTTTTGCAGGAAAAGGGGAAGAGAATCTGTGTTTGAGAGCTTCATGAAGATGTTGAAGAATAAGAATAAAAGCCCAATGCGAGGATGTTTTCAAGTTTTTCTATGTTTCCACTTTAATTTGTAAATTGAATTTTGCGACTCAATTAATTCCCTGTTTGTGGGGTACATATTGTTTTACGTACCATGCCGTACATGTTTGTAAGGATTTCTATCCTATTGGCAAAAGTCGGTTCCATACAATTAATCAATTCATTTCACTTCTATTGGCTCTACTATTTATGCATGTTACGACATTTTTTCTCTCTTTCCCTTATATTTTGCCTTTAATATTATTGAGTCAATAGTAAAATTATACTATTATAAATAGGTAGTTTGGTCTAACGCTAAATTCATGTTTGTCTTTCTTTTATTCCCTTTACATCTCAAAGTATACCATAGTTTGTGATCATTGTGGTGATGATACACTACAACAAAAATGGCCTTTCCTGACATGTCTATAAGGACACTTGCTGGTTTTTGTCATTATAGCACTTCTATCATGACATTTGTTATCAATTCACTAATTTATACTTTTTTTTATTTTATCTGATATAAAAATAATAATGTGTCTTTAGATTTCCTATCATGGCATTTTAGAAAATGTGAGATACAACGAAAAAATTAAAACATAAAACGATGTCGTTTGATTTTGACGGAAGATTCATTTGCCAAAACACTTAGTGAAATCTCAAAACTTTCATTGTGTCGATTCTTCTCCTCTCTCTCACAAACCCTCTCTCTCGGCAGACTATCTCTCAAAACTCCCCCATTTTGGTTCTTTTGTCTTCCGCCTTCGCCGCCGCCCCACTCCTCCATTTTCGGTTGCTAACTTGGCCGCTTCTCTGCCCTATTCGGTCAACCACGACACCTACACCAATAAGTCTTCGCTCTCTTTGCTAGGACAAAAGGAATAAAAAAACAGATACTCATGTTCTTTCCTTTTTCTTCTTTCCTCTGAAACCGATCCCCATGCTTCTCCGTACTGACTAGATATTCAGGTTGAGCGTGTTGAGGAGTAGAGTAGGCGAAGGTTGCCGCCATCGTCTCATTGAAGTCCAGCCACTACAGCGGAAATCATCACTGTAAAGTTTCCCGTACTCTTATACCTTTTTTCCCCCTTAATTGTATTGTTTTCTTCTTTGTCTGCAATCATGTCGGTTATGCTTTACTTTCGTCTTGTTAATCGATTTTAAGTGGCTGGAATTGATCATAGGTTTGAGTAGAGTTTTAGATTTAAAATTCAAGCTCAGGCCGTATAAGGAACTGATGAAAAAGAAATTTCAAAACTTTTCATCCTCACTACTTGTTTGTCGGAAGGTTCGAATGAAGAAAGAAGGAAATTTGCAATGGAAGTGAACAGAGAGAGATGAAAGTGATTGGAGAGTGAAATTTTGCCTTGGTGAACTTTTCTTTTGTTTTTGATCATCAAGTGCAATAGAAAAGTACATTTAGTACAATTTCCTAACTATCTTAGAGGAAATCTTGTTTGGAACTTTCGCTGGATGCTATGCAACTTATTTTTGATGCTTTGGTCATGATTGTTGTTCTGTTTGCTACAGCCCCATAAGAAGGTTTTTTTTTAATTATTATTAAAAATTACCGCATAGCTTGGATACTTTTGCATTCCATGCACCATGTCAGCTATTCATAGCACATAGCACTAAAGTAGAGCACTCTGTAATTTTGGAGATGTTTCATCTACGCATTCAATTATTTCGAGTTTTTAGTCCAATGGGTAATAAATTGGTTGTACATCACTTATTATGTTGCATCCCAGTTATATTGACCTAGAACAATTACCATATAGACAAAAAGAAGATATTAACTGCAGCAAATTGAAGAATAAAAAGAGTATTTGTCAAATCTTTTCTCCCAACATCCCTCGTAATTCTTTCCCCCAACCTCAACTTAGGCACACATTGTGTCTCTCCTTTTCTTCTTCAAACTAAATGTTCTTCTCATGGACAAATAAGAATAATTTGAATTTATGAGGATACAGAGGAAGAGAATGAAGATGGAGAAGTTAATTGTTATAACTCCAGTTATGATAAAGTTGAAGATGACTTTACATAAGATGGATTAAGTGACTAGTGCTCTATTGTAAGATGCTGGGTGCATATCTTAATTTCTTTGAATTGACTTTATATCTCAAAAAAAAAAAAAATTGAAGGGATTCTATATTTATTTGACTTGTGTGGTATTTATTTGTGTGACTGTCTTGTTTTTTGTCTGCTTTTATGATCTAGAGCATTGATTACTCTATATTTTTAGACAAGAATATATTGTTTTTGTTGTAGAATTTCTGTAGAAAAAATACAGATCTTGCACATTAAACCCAATGGGGACTGTTTGCACTATAATGCATTATGGGCAACTAACAAATTGGGATTTGCTAGCCATTCAATATTTTGTAAATCCTCTGCAGTGTAACATACTGGAAATTGCCTTTCAGTTACAGTCTCCAGCGAAGTGTCCTGATTTAGTCTTTCAAGTTGGAATGTGACTAATAGTTTCTTATCTTTTAAAAGTTTGCCAATTTCAGGAGGATTGGTTACATAGTTTTTTAAGATTTCTTTCCTCCAGTGGGCACTTAAAAAAATAGTGATTATTGAGTGCTTTGATCTGTTGAAATTTAATTGAAAATTTTCCGATCATTAATTGACACACTTCAAAATACTAATGACTACATATGTCAAAGCACAACCTAGGAAATTATATCAGCACGTGCTCCGATTGTATGGTACTAAACTTGCAGTGCTTCCACAAAGAATGTGAAGAGCACATATATACTGATCATTGAAAAGATAGATTTCTATTATGATTCTGCTAATGTTTGAAGCACTAAATGTGAAATTGCTATCTATTTTGAATGAGTATCTGTTTCTATGAAAACTTTGGACAAATATGCATATGACAATAGTTTCTAATGAAGTTACAAACGATGCTGAACCTTTGGCATTATACCAAGAAGGTGTTAATCAAGTTAACTGGTTACACTTCTAAGCCCTTGCCTGTGGGCAGAATCTGAGCTAGCTTTATTCATTTGTAGCAAGAAGTAATTTTGCATGCCAATGCCATGCATTGTTGACTAACCTGTCGCATTCAGTGTTTGGACAGGT